GTGCGGCAGTGGACGGGTCTTGTAGGTTCTGCACGGTGCTGCAGTGGACGGGTCTTGTAGGTTCTGCACGGTGCAGCAGTGGACGGGTCTTGTAGGTTCTGCACGGTGCAGCAGTGAGGAACAAGCGGGTCGGGCTCGGTGGTTCTGTTTGCTCAGGGCAGGTTAGGTCAGGATGTTTTGTTTTGTCTTTCCAGCTGACTGGCTGTTCAAACACAGAACCTGCAGTGTCTCTGACAGCTCTGTCTCTGTCCCGTCTCCAGCCCACCGGCTACATGGAGACGTCTCTGTCCTACAGCTCCATAGAGGACCTGCAGCTCCTCTCCTGGGACAACGCCCCCAAGTACTGTGTCCAGCTCAGCTTCCCCGGTGGCACCATCCTGCTGCAGGTAAATCACACACCTCTGCAGAGACAAGAAAGAGACGAGGTGTCAGAAAGACAGGACGAGCTCAGAGACTCCACACAGGGACAGAGACACTCTGTACGACAGCACAGGGACACAGGGTGACAGGGACACAGGGTGACAGGGACACAGGGTGACAGGGACACAGGGTNGTTTGTAGTCTCCTCTGTGTTTTGGTGTTTCTACATCATACAGTCCAGAACCAGGTCCAGAACCTGCTGCACGGTACCGTCAGGACGCACCATGTAAATACAGAGTGAAGGCTGAGAGCTGCTGGCTTTGCTTTATTTTGAGGTTTCTTCAGATTTATTGGTTTGTTAGAATCCATGTTGGGACGTTTTAAACCAGCTCTGAATCTTTGTAAAGAACCGTGGTTCTGTTGGTGCACCCCTGGTTCCCAGGTTCAGTGAACGCATCACGCTGCAGTTGTTTAGTCTCAGTCTCACAGACCTGAACGTTACAGTTCTGAATCAGCAGAAGTTCTGGCTCGGCTCAGAATCACAAACTTGAGATCAGCTTTCTGTTCTTCTGCTTCCTTTCATCTCTTAAAGGGAACTGGGCCGAACTTTAAAGGACCTGAACAGGAACCAGAGCGTCAGTGTGTGTTCACTGGTTGAACGTAAAGCTTTTATTCTGAAGGAACTGGTGTGTGTCAGCAGCTGTGCTCTGACTCCACACTGCTGCTGAGGAGCTGCAGATGACGTCCGCTCAGCTATTTGTGTTCATATACAGTTAATCTGCCTTCAACAATGATTGCTGCTAAATCCTGCTCTGATGCTGACGTCTGAGAAACCAGCGCCGATTCATTTACTGCAACTTCCTGTGTGTTGTCAGAGCTGCTGGAACAGTTCTGTTCAGGCTCCTCCCACAGGTTACTGCACACACACACACACACACACACACACACACACA